TCTGGCGAGGACCCTCGCCCGCCCGTGCGAGGTGAAGGCCGCCTCGCCCGGGCGGGGTGAGGGCACGCCCGCCGGCCCCGGCGAGGCTTCCTCGCCCGCCCAGTAGGGCGGCCCCTCGCTAGATCCGGCGAGGGCAGCCCTCGCTCGACGCCGGCGAGGGTCACCTCGCCGGATCCGGCGAGGGCCGCCTCGCTCGACGCCGGCGAGGGCCCCCTCGCCGATCCGGCGAGGGCGGCCTCTCGGGCGCCGTCGCGAGGGTCGCCCTCGCCCGGGCGAGCGAGGCGAGCCCCCGACGCCGACGCCGGCGAGGGCGGTGGCGGCCGGCGAGGCCGCCCGCCTCGCCCGTGCGAGGCGACCTCGCCTGGCTGTCGCAGCGAAGGTCGCCTCGCCCGGGCTGGGCGAGGGTCCTCACTGATGCGGCGAGGCGAGGCCGCCCTCGCCTAACGCCGGTGGAGGGCGCCTCGCTCGCGCCGGCGAGGTCGCCGGAGACCTCGTCGGCGAGGCGGCCTTTGCCGAAAAAAGAAAAAAAAAAAAAAAAAATAGAAAAAGGGAAAAAGACTAAAATACCCTAGGCTACAGTATATTGGGGTAAATGTGTCACAAATAGCAAAGTTTGGGATTTTTGGTGTCACAAAAAAAAGTTTGGGGTAAATGTGTCACAGAGGGCAAAGTTTGGGATTTTTGGCGATTTTTTCCCTTTTAAAAAACACTTACCAAACGCTACTTGCATTTCGAAAAACCCTTTAGCCCAAAGATATTTGCATTCCCCAAAATGCATTCCCCCAAAGTCGAACCAAACGGGCCCTTAGTCTTATGTATGGAAGCCGACTCTAAAAACTACATACGCGACGTCTCGAGAAATTTGAAAAAGCTATAAATTCACTTTCGAACATTCCAAGTTGACGGGGGAAAATGCAATTTGCGCGAGATTTTCCCCCATGGCCATTATATAAGTTTAACTAGCTCAATTCAAATGAACGTGCTCCCGTTATATGACCCAATTCTGTAAATTTGAGCCGTAATATTTTAAACTAATAAGTCTGTTTGGTATAGCCGTCGACGAATTTAGCTGTTTGTGCTGTAACTGCATTGTGACGTGCGGTGATTTATATGTTTAGAGACGTAAGTTTTAAAGTTGCAGAATCTCAAAGTTTCAGAAAAACTGTGGTATTTGTATGTTGTACAGTTGTAGTTTCGGAAGTGTTGCGGTGGTTGAGATGTTTGCCGAACACCCTTTTCACGGCTAAAGTTGCAATGAGAAAGATGTACCAAACAGATACTAAGCAGGTATATTTTTCTAGGAAAAAGCAAGTCATACATCGCCGGTGGAAAGAAATTTTAATCGGACATCTTTGTCACTCTTGATTTAAAGATTGTAAGTATCCGCTCTCTCAAATTAGTGGTGCATGAAAATGCCGATGATGCATGCTATAATTACTCTCTCCTTTTTAATGGCGATGACTAAGCGAGATCTCGATTCGGCGAACCGAATTTGACTTCACATCGGCCCTTCATCAACCAGCGATTAATTCAAACTTTCCCACCCATGTAAGCAAACCTTGACTGCCCCAATGGGTACGAGTCATCTTAAACCCATGTTTCAACAACTCATGCCGACTTAGACTTGGAATTGATTTTTGTATTTTCGGGTCTAAAACTAGTTCCACCACAGCATACATATTACATTCTCAAAGCAATTGTCGTCGCTAAAGAATATTAAGATAGTTTCAGGACGTTTTAGAATATGTTTAAGTTCGAGAGTAATATTCTCATTAGGATTTTGTTCACGAGCGCCTCAAGGCCAAGGGCACTCGTTAAACATCCAAATAAAAAAAAATTATTATTTCTTAAAACGCCGCTTCCCTCGCATTATGCACAATCAATTCGTTGAAAATGATATTTTTAATGATATATGTACAATAGCGGTGCCCTTTTAATAGTATTGAAAACCTCAAATGTATAAGGACAAATTTGACAAGAGATCTTTGAAATCATTTTATATGATTATCAAAAGAATTATGTTTTTTTTGTTGATATTGTGCTGGAAGGAAATAGAAGGATCCATAATTAGTCAAACGAAACTTTGAAAAGTCAACGGCGGTGATCGGCCGCGAATTTTGGATGAAGCTACGTTCTTTGTCCTCGTAATTTCACTTTCGCTACTCTCTTACCGCAGCTTTCACACCCGGAGTTGACTTTTAAGTCTTGGCAAGCGTTGAGGGTAAACGTTCGGATCCCCAATTGATCCTCAATCTGAGAAAATTGCGATCAATCTGCTTTGGACGAGCTTGGGTTTAGATCAGTACAAATAAGCATCATTCCCTGCGCGTCTGAATTTCGATTATTATATTGGTAAGAGGGTGAGGCTTAAAGAGGATAGTGTACATAGTGATGCTACTAATAGCAAGTTGACTTCTTCTTTTTTTATCTTTGGAGGATAATGTACATAATATAAATTGATCTGTGCGTGTATAAATTTTGATTATTAAATTGATGAGAGGGTGAGACATAAAAGAGGATGATGTACATAGTAATGGTACTGATAGCAAGTTGACATTTTCTTTTTATACTTGGATAATTGGAGTTGACTTTTGTGGCAAGTCAACTGATGAAAGCAGGATGCTAAGACCCAGAAGAAAGAGAGAGAGAGAGAGAGAGAGAGAGGGGGGGGGGGGGGGGAGAGAGTCATGTGGGAAGAGATGAGCAGAGCGAGGCGCCGCAAAATGTGGATCGCAATTAGCTAATCATGCTTGAAGTTTCTGGTTTCTCCCCCACTTTCTTAAACCTAGACAATGATTTTTACAATGACATGAGGTAATTTATATTAATACTGTTTATTTCGCGAAAAATGAATGGTTTAAAAAAAAATATTCCTAAAAATAATTATTTATATCGCTTGACATAATTAGTCAATAAAAAATATTTTTATTATTGACAACAATTTAAGTCTAAATATTGTCGTGAACAATAAATTTGCATGTAACCGGTATAAGTAATAATTTTTAAGAGAATATTTTTCAAATCATTAATTTTTCGCGAAACAAACGCACCTTAAGAGAAATGCATAAGTATTGACAATAAAATGGTAGGGACTTTCCAATGTGCATGTAAAATGGTGTCTTCAAGAGAAAATGGTGGAAATTTATAAATTTTCTCTCATCTTTCCTCCCCTCCATGCTTTCAAATAAAGTATCGAGAGTATTTATTTGGATTGAAGTCATATTTAACGTATGTATTTACGTGTTATTTTCAGTAAAAAAAAATTATTTTCCATATGTTTTCTAAGAACATACAAACTATTTTCTAGCGCAACAACTTCTGGCCACACAATATGGATACCTTGCTATATGTTATCGGTTAAACAACATTTCAATTTTTCTAAACCGTTTCACATCTTATTTTTTGTCAAGTAATCGTGCAGCATATCAATTTTCACTTTCAGGATATATGATGATTTCATTTCAAAATCACACGAATATATGGAAATACTATAAAATAATCTCGAGTTTGTCATTACAAGAAGTAGCAACAGAATTAATCAATTGCTTAACATTGATAGCTTTCCTCAAATAAAAGATACCTTAAGTATATGTATATATACTCGCGAGATAGCGATTCATAGTCCATATACTGATTAGGGATGTATGCAGAGAAGAGAGGAGCCATCCCAAATCCAATGAATGAGCAAGTTAGATCATCTCGTCTAATTGCCTCATCTATCTATTTGAGGAGCTTCGATTGCAAATTTGATTACATTTAATGCGCTTCGGATGATTCACGTCACATTGAGTTGTATCCAGGCGATTAAGAGCGGCCTCACGACCCCTGCACTATGTACGTGAAACTTTTAGGTTTAGACAACGTGAAAAGAACGCACAAGAACATTACCGTTTATACTATGATGTCAAAAAGAGAACCCATAAAATCTAGGGGTGGCATGTTACCTAATAAATTTCACGCCCGTGATCTACGACTTCACGTAACTTTTCAAATTTGCATGACTAAACCACTTTCCATATTATGATAATTCCCATTTAAAAATGAAAACTTCACTCCTAGTCAAAAGCGAAAAAACATCCTTATTTTACTAGATATATCCCAACTTGCATTAATGAAAGGAAAAATACCACCAAAAATCCTAAATTATGCCACTTATTACCCTGAATTTTTTTTTGTGACACGAAAAACCCCAAATTATGCCACTTGTGATACATTTACCCCACAATACTTTGGTCTATAGGCATTTTCGTCTTTTTCCTTTTTCTATTTTTTTTTTCTTTTCTTCTCTCTTCCCTCCGCCGGCCATGGCGGAGGGAAGTTGGCTAGGGCAGCCTTTGCCGGATCCAGCGAGCGTGACCCTCGCCGGCGTCGGGCGAGGGTCGCCCTAGCCTGAGTCGGGAGAAGTCGCCCTCGCCTGAGTCGGGAGAAGTCGCCCTCGTCCGACTCAGGCGAGGGCGACCCTCCCCGGCGTCGGGCAAGGCTACCCTCGCCCGCCTGAGAGTCGCCCTCGCCAGATCCAGCGAGGGTAGCTCTCGCCAGAGTCGGGCGAAGTCGCCCTCGCCAGATCCAGCGTTGAGCGAGGGCAGCCCTCACCCGACGCTGGTGAGGGTCGCCCTCACCGGCTTTCCTCCGCCATGGCTAGGGGAGGGAAGAGAAGAAAAGAAAAAAAAAAAGGAAAAAGACGAAAATACCCATAGGCCAAAGTATTGTGGGGTAAATATTTCACAAGTGGCATAGTTTGGATTTTTCGTGTCACAAAAAAAAATTCAAGGTAAATTTATCACAAGTGACATAATTTAGGATTTTTAGTGGTATTTTTCCTTGATGAAAACATTCATGCGGTCCGCCTCCTTACTATTTATATCGATTTCTCGCATTTTTAAACAAAACGTTGACCAACCAACCAAAGATAATGCAATTCACGTCAGTGGCACGACCGTAATAATCCCCAATCGCGAGCCTAGTCCCCCAACCGAAAGGCTACTTATGCGTCGCCACTTCGCTCCGCTGCTGAAGCACGGCCTTCCCCCATTGCTCTCGACACTCACTCTCCGCGCGCGTGAACTCTCTCGCGAACCGAAATGGCCGGATACCCGAACCCGCCGCCGAACTACGGCTACGGAGCCCCACCACCACCGTACGGCGCCGCCCCAGCGTACGGGCAGCAGCCCTACGGCGCGGCGCCGTCCGCCCCCTACGGCGCGCCGCACCCCGCGGACAAGCCGGCGAAGGACAAGCCCCCGAAGGACCCCTACGGAGCCGTCCCGCCACCGGCGGCGGGCGCCGGGGGGTACCCGCCGGCGCCGGGGTGCGGGAACCCGTTCGCGGCGCTGATGCCGTCGCAGTTCCCGCCGGGGACGGACCCGAGCGTGGTGGCGTGCTTCCAGATGGCGGACCAGGACGGGAGCGGGCTCATCGACGACACGGAGCTCCAGAGGGCGCTGTCGACGTACAACCAGAGCTTCAGCATGAGGACGGTCCACCTGCTGATGTACCTGTTCACCAACACCAACGCGAGGAAGATCGGTGAGTTCTTCTCCATTTCTCCGGTCGATTCGTGTCTCCATCTTTTTGCTCGATCGATCGCGAGGGTTTGTGGATGATGGGCGTGTTTTTTCGCCGTTTGATTTGGGGGTTTGGAGGGTCGTTTCGCTGGTAAAGTCTTGCCCTGCCTTGTGCGCGACGACGCGCGTTTTGGTCTCTTTTGCGATGAATTCACGGAGAGATGCCTGTCCGTACTGAAGCTTCACTAGCAAAACGGCACCGTCGTTGCAATCCACCAGCGACGGACCAATCTCGCACTTTAAATAACGCGTTGACCGACTAACCAAGTAAATGCAATTGACGTGAGTGGCACAACCGTAATAATCCCCAATCGCGAGCCTAATCCCCCAATCTGAACACTACTTAATACGCCACCGTTTCGCTCTGTCCAAGCCCACTACGTTCGCCTTCGCCCTCCACAGACACTCTCCGCGCCGTGAACTCTTTCGCAATCAAAATGGCAGGATATACCCGAACGCGCTGCCGAACTACGGCTACAGAGCGCCGCTCCGGCGTACGCTCACGGCGCGGGAACATCAAAATGGATATACAAAATCCTTATATTAATCATGACCGATGTATAGCTGAGCACTGAAAGAGGTGAAGCTTCGATCATTTCATCCGCGATTCTGTTCGATCTGACTTTTACGGTACTCGTCTTGAGATGCTCGAGTTTTCATCAATTCAAATGGTGACCGTGCTTATATCTTGATGACCTCCGAGGACGTCCTTTACAAATTTCCCACCTTTTGGCAGGACCAAAGGAATTCACCCAGGTGTTTTACAGTCTCCAGAACTGGAGGGTAAAGTCCTAAATCTGCAGCTCTTCATTTGTAATCTCAAACGGCACGAGATATCCACATATGCTTCCGGCTTCCCTAATTTGTGCTGTTACCAACTTCTTCAGGGCATATTTGAGAGATTTGACAGGGATAGGAGTGGGAAGATCGATGCCAACGAGTTGAGAGAGGCGCTTCTGAGTCTGGGATTCTCCGTCTCGCCCGTCGTTCTCGACTTGCTTGTCTCCAAGTTCGACAAAAGCGGAGGCAAGAACAGGGCCATCGAATACGACAACTTCATCGAGTACGTACCGTGCCTAGTGTCTGCCTAGTTCCCACTATGTCATGAGTTTATGCCTCGTAAATTATTGGATTTCCCTGTTGTCACCGCTCACTAACCAATGCTTGAATTTCCTTTGTTTGATTTTTATGCAGGTGCTGCCTTACTGTCAAGGTGAGAGTTCTCGCTCCACATAACCATTCTTTCCAATTTCTATTTGGGTTTATGCACTGGACTTCGCTTTCGCTTCATAATTTTTAGCCTAACTGCCATCAAACACCGCGACTTTCTTACCTGGGCTCTTCGCTTTAAGCTCAGAAGATAAAGCTTTTATATTAATACGGGCACTCGCTGTTTGCCTCAATTGAGTTTTGATTGATGTCTAAAGTGGTTTTAACCAGAAGCGAAGGAGTGAGAATTTGTCTTATTGATCCTCATTGTTCACATGATGTGCGCAGGGACTGACCGAGAAGTTCAAGGAGAGGGACCCCATGTACTCGGGCTCGGCGACTTTCAACTACGAGGGCTTCATGCTGACTGTGTTGCCTTTCCTTATTGCTTGAGTTTGAGACCTTAATATGGTTCTCGGGCAGTATCGTTGATGTTTCCCAAGTAATTTTCGCCGTCTGTGGCATCTTTGCCCCCCAGTGAACTGGTATAATGTCACGTTTGCTTCAGTCAAATAAGCTTCGAACTTTTCAATGTAGTTTTACTTCTCCAAGGGCTTGCCAATGCCATTATTCACTCTTCTTCGTTTCTTAATAAAACATTTGCAAGAAGTCAGAAGGGCCTCCAGTGATGCCCTTCCTCTTTAGAACACGGATGGACAGACGGACAGAAAGGGCAACGGGTGTTGAATCGGTCGTTGAATTGGTCCTCGGACGATAATACATCATTACTTTCTTCGATCTGATTGTTGCCATGAAAGTTTTTCTCTGTCTGATCTGGAACAGTTGCGGCCGGCCAAAAATGGTGCTGCAGTGCTTCTATGGCCATTCCTAGTCTTGTATGTATCTCTGCACTACTGTGACAACGCATCTGATGTTCTGGTGAAGATAAGTCTAAAATCAGACTGTATGCAAGTGATAAGGGAATGGCAGATTCCAGGATGTTGAGGATCCATGGCCGAGTTTATTAGCGCACATAATTACTAGTTTTTCCTTAATAAGATCTTCAGAAAACTTACTGCTTAGATTATTAATTGTGTATTTTTATGAGACAAAAAAAAGTTCAGACCAGAATTGTCACTTAGGGTAAAGTTAGTACTTTTTTTTTTTGGGAATTAGCCCTCATTCTTAAAGTTTGCGAAAGTTTTAGCACAAAACAATCTTGAACTGTGCGGTGCATAATTTATGTGACGAACTACCTCGTTAAATGCATCAATTTTTCACTAATTAAGAAATTTAGATTAAATTGGTTCCCAAGTATTCCCTAACATTGATCTTAGCCGTTGATCAAAGAGAAGTAGCTCATTTCCACAATGTGCGAAGCGCTGTCGTTCGATCTCAAAAAAAGCAAGTTCAGAGAAGAAATACAGATACAAAGTTAGAAGTGGTGAAGAAGATTTTACTAATTTTGCTTTTCTTAGGAAAACCAATAGACATTTGTTAATTTAAATAAATTGTTTTGTAGAGTGCTTGCTCTGTGATTTTGCTTTTGACTCTAACAAGACAAAGAAAAAAATGGCAAAGTTGGAATTGGAATGAAAATTCTCAATCTTGCATGATGCTTTCATTCGTGTTTCAATTGGGTTTTAATTGTCAATTTGCATAGATAAATTATGCATTGATGGTCAAGATACCCACATAAAAACTCGCAGGATAGATGATCCATGTCAAATCGATGAAATGTAGCTCTCGTTTATGAATTTTATCAAAGTATAATGTTATTTAAATCAATAAGTAGTGCTTAAGGCTCAAAATCTCGGGTTTAGATTAGACTTATAGCTGTTATCCTAAGGCAGGGTTTGGTTTGGGATCGTGTGATGATCGGGCGGGTTTACTTGAGAATTACTCTTCTTATCTCGAAACTTACTAATCCTCTTGAAAGACAACTATTCACAAATATGAGAAGACTGCTTATTTTTTTTAAGTATGTAAAGTTGTTGATTGCACTATAAAATGTTAGTAATTTTTTGAAAAATAATGTTTTACTTATTATATGAAGTAAGTTTCTTATCTAGGTTAGTAAGTTTAAAGACTCAAGAAAATTTTTTATCTCTTACCAATTTATTAGTAAATTTGCCCCGAGTAATAAGTTTTCCAAATTAAAGGTAATTTTGGAAGTAGCATGAATTGGTTAGCATCATTTGTAACTCATGAGAAAAAAAAGTAAATAGCAATATATTGTAAGCAGTTAAATTTTGAGATCCTTTCTTGAACTTATTTTTCCCAAACCTAACAAATTTTTTCCAGTTTTTTCAGAATGATTGGTCTAGACGTGAATTCAGGCTCGAGATTGAGCTCGATTCATTTAAGCTCGACTGTCGAGCTAGGAGAGCCCGACCCGAAACCTGCTTACAAATCAAGTTAATGCTAAATATTGTGATGCATGAAAGGACGGATTGTAGTCGTACAAGAATACTTACTTTCCCTTTAAAGTGGTGGCCTTAAATTTATGGATTAATACCACGAAAAATTAAAAAATTGTACACCTATAACAAATTTACCAAAAACTATTTTTTGGACTACAAAAAACTCCAAACTAGTACATCTGTGACAATTTTACTCCAAACTATTTTTTTGATGACCAAAAACCCCAAATTAGTACACCCGCGATAATTTTACCCCAAACTAATTTTTTGACCATAAAAAACCTCAAACTGGTACACTCGTGACAATTTTACCCCGAACTAATTTTTTGACCATAAAAAACCTTAAACTGGTACACTTGTGACAAATTTACCATCCGTTAGTTTTCGTTAAATTTTACTATCAAATTGCTAAATTTAATGACATGTGGCAGTTGATGGATGTATCAGTTTGGGGTTTTACCCCTCTATTTGTCACAAGTTTACCAATTTGTGATTTTTTGTGATATTAATCCAATTTAATGGAGGGTAAGTTTGTCACAAATGTACCGGTTTGGGGTTTTTAGTGGTAAAAAAATTAGTTTGGGGTAAAATTATCACAGGTGAACCAATTTGAGATTTTTTTTAGTCAAAAAATTAGTTCGGGGTAAAATTGTCACAAGTGTACCAGTATTGGGTTTTTAATGGTAAAAAAAATAGTTCGGGGTAAATTTATCACAGGTGTACCAGTTTGGTATTTTTGACGGTCAAAAAATTAGTTCGTGATAAAATTGTCATTTGTGTAATAGTTTAGGATTTTTTCGTGGTATTAACTCCAAGTATTTTTCACATCCACTTCTTAATTTTTCCCATCATTCCTATTCCCAATTTTTTTTCCCTTAATTCCTATGCCTAATGGATATATCACTTGTATAGTTCACGGGTCGGACGTCTCGGATCCGATTTCTAGTACTTGACCCGGGAGGGGATCTGGAGAAAACCTAAACGCTACACGGAAACCCCAAGCTCTTCCTCTTCCTCAGCCTCATCTTCCTCCTTCCGTCGGTCGAACGAAGGAGAGGGACGCAGCCATGGCTTCGTACGACCTCACGCCGCGCATCGCGCCGAACCTCGACCGGCACCTGGTGTTCCCCATCCTGGAGTTCCTCCAGGAGCGGCAGCTCTACCCCGACGAGGAGATCCTCAAGTCGAAGATCGAGCTCCTGAGCCAGACCAACATGGTCGACTACGCCATGGACATCCACAAGAGCCTCTACCACACCGAAGACGTCCCTCAAGGTCCCTTCTTCTCCGTTGTTGGTGGTTTTTGTGCTTCCCTTGTTTTTTTTTCTTTGTTGATTTCTGTGCCTGAGCGCTAGGGTTTATACAGCGAGTCTGCGATTTTGATTGGTGCGGGCGCGCGCGCGTTTGTTGTGTGTAGATATGGTGGAGAGGAGGGCGGAGGTGGTGGCGAGGCTCAAGGCGCTGGAGGAGGCGGCGGCGCCCATCGTCACGTTCCTGCTGAACCCTAGCTCCGTCCAGGAGCTGAGGGCCGACAAGAGCTACAATCTCCAGATGCTCAACGATCGATATCAGGTAAGGTCACGCAGCGTTTGGTGTGTGCCAGGTCATATCATCGATTAAATTGAAGCTCTCTCTCTCTCTTTCACACACGCTGATGCGAGCCCCTTGTACACGTCTTTGTAAAAGTAAAAGCTTTGTCACGTGCAGCGATTTGCACTTGTTCGTGGAGCCAGAAGTGCCGTATTTTGATTTCTCGAGTTTGGTTATACTGCTTGTTGTTCTGCTTATGTTATTGAGTTAAGTTTATGATATGAATTTGGTGTACTTGGTGGTGCGGTTTGCCAGATCGGTCCAGAGCAGATAGAGGCATTGTATCAGTATGCCAAATTCCAGTTCGAATGCGGGAACTACTCAGGTGCTGCCGACTATTTGTATCAGTACAGGGAACTGTGCACAAACAGTGAAAGGAGTCTAAGTGCATTGTGGGGAAAGCTGGCTGCCGAGATTCTGATGCAAAACTGGGATATTGCTCTCGATGAACTTAATCGTCTGAAGGAGATCATAGACTCCAAGGTTTTGGCCGCATACCCGACTGTTGTATTCGGAATTGATCAAATAATCCTTTTCTTGGTGAAATTGATAGATTAGTTTTTGTTATTGAGCCCGGGTTCAAATTGTTCATGCTGATTTCTTTTGCAGAATTTTTCGTCCGCTCTGAACCAAGTGCAAAGCAGGATATGGTTGATGAATTGGAGTCTCTTCATCTTTTTCAACAATGAGAATGGGAGGACTCAGATCATTGACCTGTTTAATCAGGACAAGTATGGTTCTTTATTTCCCTGTTTGATCAATCTTCATCTTTTATGCATTAGGCCTTAAGAAAAGTTTCTGCCCAAGATGTCACTCATGCTCTTCATGTGGCGTTGTATTAATACGTATTCACTAGCGTGATCTTGTTGAATAAGTTTGTCTGAAAATAATTTAACTTTCTTCTTTGCAGGTACTTGAATGCCATTCAGACAAATGCTCCCCATCTTTTACGTTATCTGGCCACTGCATTTATCGTCAACAAAAGAAGACGCCCTCAGTTCAAGGATTTTATCAGGGTTGTTCAACAAGAGCAGTATTCCTTCAAAGATCCAATCACAGAGTTTTTAGCATGTGTCTATGTCAATTACGACTTTGATGGTGCACAAAAGAAAATGAGAGAGTGTGAAGAAGTAAGTTTTTTGTCCTGATGCTACTCTTGATTCATTCACAGTATTAAGGTGGATGCGAGGCTTCAGTTTAAATCCTCTTTTTGTCTTGGGAAGGGGGAATTGATATTCTGTTTTTAATAGGAAAGATATGCTGCGTGGTCTTTGAAATTTCATTTAGCCTTCTTTCTGCCGTACCATGTTCAGAAGTGAAGTGCTGTAGCTTGGACTGTGGTCTTACTAATTGTCATTCTCTGCAGGCGATCTTGAATGACCCTTTCCTTGGAAAAAGAGTTGAGGAAGGGAACTTTTCCAGTGTGCCATTGAGAGATGAGTTTCTAGAAAATGCCCGCCTTTTCATATTCGAGACCTACTGCCGTATACATAGAAGAATTGATATAGGGTATGTATGTGGTGACGGAATGTATAATGTAGTTCCATGTGAAGGGATTGCTATCTCTCTTTGGTTGCTTGAAATAATTTGCATGGCAATGGATATTGATTGCTCATCTTATTTCTCCTATTTTTTAGTTTTTTTGCTCATTTAGCCGTTGTTTGGCACTTCGTGCGTGGAACATACCCTTGGAAGAATTGGTAAATGAGTAACATATGATAACATGAATCGAAGTTTTCTTCTCTTGCTAGTAGCGAGTTAGGTGCCCTTATTGCTTACTCGACACTTGCAGTTCGAGAAAGTAGGTCATAATCTGAAAGGAAGAAATCATCCAAGTCACATGATTAGCCTATCTAGAAGGAAGATTTAACTTAACAGACAATTTGAAGTTAATCTTCTCACAGCGTTTTGAAAATCTTTGATATTGCTTTGAGCTCTCTTATTCGGAAGCTCGTTTTGGGGCATCCAATGCGACTTCATTTTATTCTCATAGTCTTGTCTGAGTGATAATACCACATAGAGTTAGGAGACTCCTCCCATGACGGTTCTCATATGATATCATTCGAGTGAAGAGGTAGCAAGTAGCAATGTGATCATCTCCACTGCAAGGGGTTTAAAAAGAAATTGGGAAAATGTGTGGCATTCAGCTCTATAGTAGTTGGACTGACCCTATTCAAACATGCAAGTTATTCTTGGGGGAGAATATAGTTTCTTGTTGTCTTGATTTAAATCAATTCGCATGCAACTCTTATGATAGCAAAAAAACACCAGTTAAATACCATAACAACTGGGGACCTTAACATGTCTAATTTGCTTCTACTGTTTTCTTGAAGATTGTACGACCCAAAATTGTTTTCTACGTGAAAGGAATAGCTGTGATGGACTTGGTAGACTCTGTTCTTGAAACACCTGATGCATGGTTTCCAATTATATACCACGTATAGAGGCTTCTTAGACTCTGTTCTAATTGTAGGATTTTATTTGCAGGGTCCTTGCGGAGAAACTGAATTTGAATTATGAGGAGGCTGAGAGATGGATTGTCAATCTTATTCGGACTTCAAAACTCGAAGCCAAGATTGATTCCAAATCGGGGACTATTCTCATAGAACCTAATAACCCCAACGTGTAAGATTGCCTACAAATTCCAATCTCTTCACGAATTTTTGTTGATCGTTATGATATCTCAACCACCACCTTTTCGTGTCACACTTGGGTGTCTTTTCTTTCTCCACGTCGGTAAATTAAGTATGCTGATCTTATAAGCACTTTTGTTTTTATCCTTTCCTGCAGGTATGAACAACTGATAGACCATACGAAGGCACTCTCAGGGCGCACTTACAAGCTAGTCACTCAGGTTCTGGAGCACGCACAGACACAGACTGCTCGATAACTTTGGTTGCTGAAGATTTTGAGTAGTACTCTTTTTTTTAGGGTTAAGGTGTCTTTTACTTTTTATGTTAAGCTTTTGTCCAAAGGAAGCTTATGTTGTGAGAGATGAGAAAAGTTGAAATTTGTGAGAGATCATTCACGTTTGCTTACCAAGAATCCTTGTTGATTATTTGTATTGACAGATGCCAAGTTGCAATTTTGCTCTGGCCATTAGAATATTTTGTTCAAGCGAGAATGGAATGTGATTCGAATTTGCTCCGTATTAACGGAGGTCCATCGAGGCTTTCATATGGCATGGATTGAATCCTATGATCATACGTTTCAGTTTTCGGTTATTAGTCTCCGATGCGCTCTTGAAGGCATCAGCTATGGCTCTTAACCTGCGTGTCCGCGACGCGGGACGTCCTGAGCGAGGTTTAGGACATATCCGATTGCCCCTGCTCAGGGATCGATCTCATGGAACTTCAATCGAATGCAAGTTCAGCTGATGATTTTCAATCGAGATTACCTAGCCGGTTAGTAAATTAGATATTACAAATCTGGTCACTTCGGATTTCTTGTTCTCTCTTTCCAGTTCGACTTGTGCGACAAAGACACGAACAGGAAAGCGTCCTCTTATATAGGGGGGTTCGAAGGTAAGAACCCGATATATTCGGGAAAAGTGTTTTCGTTATTTTAGGGAAAATGATTTATTTTTTGAGAAAATGACATAAATGATCCATAAACTTTAGTCTACTATGTAATACGGTATTTGAACTAAACTTTAGCACAATATACAATTTGATCTCCGAACTTTTAAATTGTTCGATGTGATCTCTAAATTTTTTATATATGTTCAATTTGATTCCTAGACTATATAAAAATGTTAATGTTAAATGCACCAGTTGTGTCTTGATCCCTTTAGAATTCAGGTCCCGGGCGGTGTTGGGCCGGGCCTAACCATCATGCTATGGGTCCGGATCGTCTAGATCCGAACACTTGCCCGTGTTTCATCGACCGGACCGACCCGAATTTATGCTTTAAGGCTGCTCTTACCGGCATGCATAGAAAACACTCGCTCTCTCTCTTATCACTTGGTTGTTTAGATCGCGTCGCGTTCGCTCAGGTATGCTCTCTTTCGCCGGTTCTGCTAGATTTCTCGAACGCGACATGTCTCGATTCTGTCTCTATGTTTTGATGTCCGACAGAGTTCATCGGAAAATCTAGAGACTATTTCCAGTTATACGAGCCGCCACGACTCATTTCTGTGAAACTTCCCCCCCTCCTTTCTTCTTTGTCCTCTTTTGCGATCGATTCGAATGCCCTGGATCCCGTCGCGAGTCTTGTTCGTACGGCGAAACAGTCGGAGTGAGATTGCTTGGGCTTGCTCTGTTCCGGAAGAAGGAAGGGTCGTCTGCTTGTTGGTTTCTATCGGTATCTATCTGGTGGAGTTCGTATCCGACCTTTTGTTTTCGCTCATATGGGTTTTGGCTTCCGGACATGCAGCTCCTAGGTATAGCATAGACTTATTAGCAGACGAATTCGCGTTGTTGGTCGACGTTCGAACCAGGCCTACTAAGTTCTAGAACAGAAGATCATAGTTATATCTCTTTCGTCTGCTGCTCTGGCAATGCTTCTCTGGGTGATGTGTTTTATCATGCTCGTTTTGGGCAAAGTTTCTGTCCCCACAAATTCATTAGTATCTTTATTCTCTTGTTTGGTTTTCCCAGGCAAGTTTTGGAGGACTGCTTAAGGAAGTATCACGCAAATTTTTGAGCCTTCGCTTGAAAGTAGTGGATCTCACATGGACAGTCGGTTGGAAACTTCACAGGGTAAGAACTTATTCATCCTTTGATGTTCAATTCCTTTGCCATGACGAGAGCTTATATGATTTTAGGGACAGAGAAGCTGTTTGAAATTCGTCTGCTGTCGGGGTTAGGAGAATTTTAAGTCTAGTAGATTTCCTAATAAGAGTACTCTTGGTGCCCCTTGTGGAACTCTTGCGCGCGCCCCCCCCCTCTCGCACACAAGATCTGCTGTTTGCAGGGATGTGCTCACACGTCCTTTCCATGACAGATTTTGAAGGGTTGTAATGTGTGTAAGAGGGGCTATTTATGCAGCAAGTGGATGTTATGGTTATTCATAGTACATTACTTGATGATTTCAGTAGCTTGACTTCTTGAGATCTTTCGTGTCACTGTCCAAATGAATACCGGCTATTGGCAGTTTAGTCCATGCCGACTTCTAGACTGGAATGTCGAGACATCTACCTCTGTGCCCAATCTTTTTCTCTATGTTGGTTGCCTGTCACTACACTACCTCTCTGTACTGAAAATAAAAACACGCATTTGATGAAGGAATTTCTGGCAAATTGTCACATCCGGTCTATTAGTTTGACCATGGAAATTTTTGGCTTGCCTTAAGTGTATAGACTTGGTCGCCCTATCCTCCTTCCAAATTGAGAATCTTTGCATTGTGGGTGCTACAGATAAGATAAACAGCAAGAAGATCGACAAAGGGGTTGATGTTATTAAGGAGGATCAGCTTTCCTCGATCAAAGATAAGGATGTCTCGGAACCCATTCCAAGTTCTCCTGGAAGTATTCCAAAGGCCAAAGTTTTTGATCCAGAAGCTGGGGGAACTGTTGGACCTAATGCAATTGTTAATGACCCTAACATTACTGGTGAAGTAAACATGGAAGCGCTCATAATTCCTGATGATGTAATAAGGGCTGGAGGTTTTGGGGCCAGAGATGATATAAGTAGCTTTCTTCCAGTTGCTAGTGATTCTACAGACTTTGAAGCTGCTCTGCGTGCCGCACGAGACTATGAGGAATTGCAAGAGGAAGTATGCAGACCGGGCCTTGGCTGGACAGAAGGTACACAAAGAGAATAAGCTACCGCTTCCTACTTTCGTACCTGTTGATGAGCTTGACTTCTTTTGTACTTTTACACCATTACCTCGATGAACTCTCTCTTTGATGTACATAGTTGTCTCTGATGCGCAAATTTGAGTCTCCTTGTAAATTTTGTTGTAAGTTTTGTAACTCACAATTTATGAACTTAACTCAGAATAGATGAATATTTTCAATTGACAATAGCTTAGTTACATTATTGTGCCTTTCTTGATGGATCTGATTCGCAACCATAATTTTTTCTCTTGCCTTAGCTCGTGGAAACAATCCTTTATTTTAACCACCTATTAAGCAGCTATATTTGATAGCAAATGCTCGACTGCGACATGGAAGTCATTAAAATTGGCTCTGCTGGTAATGAAACGAAAATGATGGCATCGCCAAATGGGTCACCATTAATGAGTCACAGTTATTCATTAAGCTTTCACTGAGCATGTTTAGGCCGGTTACGCTAATAAAAGCCAATAGTGAAATGAACAAGTCGGTCTATGCAAGCAAAAATATAAATGCCATGATTTTGTTCCCGCAACTTGTATTGAGATTTGATTATCTAAACAGAAATTCTGCATTCGTTGTGTTTCCAAATATCAATCCAAACTAAAGATGTTCTTTGAAACTGAACGCACCCAAGAAAATCCAAGATTCAATGTAGCAAACCCCTTCAACCTCGTGTCAATGAAATTTTGCTTTCATTCTACACTGCTGCATAGTTTATAACTTATCATAATGACAACCTTCACACCGATCAGGTCCCAATAATCAGTGAAAACCACTCCGGCAGGAGACCAGCAGGTCCATAACTAGGAAGATCTTCACATCTTCACCCTCATTTTCTTATTCTGGTTTAATACATAGAGTGACAAGGTCCGAGTACACGAAGGGCTAAGAAGTTAACTACCGTTAAGAAAAAATTTCTATTATTACCCACAGTGGCACACCGCACCAAAGATGCTTACATAAGAAACACTGCATGAAGTCCCTATACCTCCAAATCTTCACTCTTTGACAAGGCTCAGGGGTTCACAAGAAAGAGTCAGTCTAAGTGGTGTCCTCCTTCCTCAAAATAACTTTATACTAGCAAACCATCCTTTTGAACTCTAAAAGCAAATAACTAGGAGCTATGTAAGTAAACAGATACAAATCAACATGAAATTACAGGCTTCACCCATCCACCCATGACTTCTCTTCAGTTCACCATACACCTCTGTATTACAGCCGAAAAGGAAGAAAAAGATTCTAACCTCTCTTATCTCATTCAAACATTTGCATCCATGTAACTACGCGACATAAGCAGAAGATTTCAACTTCTTTGGTGGCGGATTTCCTCCCGACAAGATTACATACGAATAGAAGCACAGCATCGCAGCACTACATGCACAAATGAAAAATCAAACGAGTCACTTTACCGAATTCACAGTCTAGTAAGCAAAGCATTTCTCTGCAACAACAGAAGTACCTGATAAGAACATTAAGCCCTGTTGGAAATACTTTCTTTGTCTGCATCCGTGACAGAAGAGGTGAGTATTAAAACAAAGAACCATCCAATGAGTCTCTATATGCAATCTATAGGAAATGCCCAGGCATGCGCTCATGCACATCATACTTTCACAGATTAAGAGCATCATAGGGTATGGTGCTTGAGACCTACCAGAGAGTAAGTTTGAAAGTTCTTCCAGAAGATGACAGCAGAGAGGACTGCAAGAGAAAAGAAGATGCATAATAAGCACAGATAAGCTCGGAGAGATCTCCACACAGAAAAAAGAAGATGCATAATAAGCACAGATAATCTCGGAGAGATCTCCACACAGAAATTGTGACCAAGGACGTCCATTAACTCAAATGCACATTATGCAACAGGTCAGTGCCCAGACCATACAACTACTCCTTTATACATATCATACAATAACTACTATGATCAGCATAATGGAATCATAATTGCAAGTCAGGCTTAGCAGGTTTTGATTTAAAGAGAGAAGATTCTTCTTAGATTGTTTGAAAATTGTACTTGAAAGACCACAAATTAGATAATCGAGGTTAAAAAGCCGCGTTCTTTTGTAAAAACGTAGACCTAAAGATCCAATGATAATCAAATATTGCATCTCCTAAACAAGCGAGGTTCACTTCCAGAAAATCCTCCATTTGAAGGAGCAGAAGGACCTTTAACAAGCATGCTGATTCATCTCCACAGTCCTTTTGAAGCCATGCTCAAATCTGTCACTAATTCCGTCAGCAGAAAGTGAAAGTACAACCAGGTTTCTATGCGGAAATTCTACATTGCCAACAGTTGAGTCCGCTATAACAATATACACACTTCATTTGGTCAAGTAGTTATATTCACTTGTCATAAATAATGAGCTCCAGTCCCATATGCAAGGTGCATAAACACTGATTGTGGACCCAAAACAGTCCAAAGAATACAAGATTTACCATTTGATGCAGAAAGCAAGGTATAGAAAATGGAAAATACCACGCTGATACTTCCAGGTTATCTATCATATGCTTTTTGCTTGTACTACTCATAAATATAAAGATGAAAATTCACGAGGATGGATTAATAGAATAACAAGTACCTATTTGTCCTAAAATGAAAGGCAAGCTGGATTTTCCTTCCCTCCAGATCTTCAAGCTAAGGGTGCTAAGGGCTAGTATAGCGCCTCCAAATAGTACACCATTGCCCAGAGCAGTTGGATTTCTGGAGAAAATGAAACCAAGAAGTCCACCACTGAAAACTAGACCGCCTGTTAGACGAAACAATAGGATTGCCTGAGTAATTTTCCTCCTAAAGCTGTCAAATTACAAACTTTAACAGGTTTAAAAGTTGAACATGTAAGATGGACATGTTATATTTACTCAAGTGATCAACAAGACAAATCTCAACTGCTGTTCAACAGTGTTGAACTAAGATGGGGATCGATGGCATGCATTACAAATAGGCCTCAAGTTATAAGTTCTTATGATGATCAGCAACGAGGAGTTCATATTCAGCACACTCACCAAAGGGAATTCCAAGACAAAAATCATGAATTTTAGCAGCCCTCTTCGGCTCCGCGACACCCTGTTCCTGTTCGGGCTCACTTATTCCCATATTTTCAGCATTATGGTCTTCTATAGATGTATATGACTTTGCTGCCCCGTTCATTTGCGATCTTGATGCGTCATCTATGTAACTGAAAGAACTTTTGTTGCCAGGGGAAGTAGTCTCTGGGCCACGTCCTTCAAGACTCATGACGACCGATGACTGTACAATGTTCCAGTTATTATACAAACATTATGAAGCAAAAGAAAAAAAAGGGAAAAAAGAGTATGACTCCACTATATCTAAACTGAATTTACAGTTGAAAACTTCCTTAATGGACCAAGATAAAGCCGTTGGTAGGATACAATCTTCTTACAATAATACTTCCTGATACATGAAATCCCGGAAATGAACTTCATAAAAAAGTAGCAGGCAATGAGATAACACAAAACACTCTCCACTTTCACTCCCAATGTAGAATGAAAAGCTCTGTCTTGCAGAGAATCTATAAGCAAGTCACACTAATGCTATCCTGGGCATCTGGCTACTGTCTACAAACATGCTTGAAACACCCGAGGATAGATCCCGAGATGAAGACGCAAATATTGGGTCAACGATATCTACGGCCCATTAACGGCAGAACGATGATTCTTAAAGAATATCTCTTCCTATATTGGAAAAAGATTCAAAAAGCTAGTCCAGTGTATGGGAATGCAAGAAATGCAGTTGAAAAAACCATTCTGATTCCATAATGCAGACATCGCAAAAGAGTTATGCAACATAAACAAATAGACCACATCATCCCAGTTGCACAATTCGATTGCAAGGCACGTGAGACTCAATGAACAAGCACAAATACCATGATTCTCAGCAGCAGGTACTCCTATTACGGCCGCACGTAAGAAAATCAAGAACGTCGGCGACGACCCATATTGCGTATCCCCAAAAAGACAACTTTTTGACGCATCCCTCGAGCAAACAAGCGACACCCCGCAATGCGTTGACCCCGAGCAAAGCACAATCGAAACAATTCCGCGTCCGCGTACCTTCGATCGATGGTTCTGGAAGGTCAAAGCGGAGAGCTTGCGCAGCCGGAGCTTGCGATCGATCGCGGAGAAGCAGGAGAGCTGAGACGGGGAGACGGTCGCCGCTGCCGCGGTTGATGATGCCATCCCGACGGCGCGAATCGACTCCGGGAATCGAAATCGAAGGCAAGAAGAAGAAGGAGGCAGAGAGTTCAATCAGTAGAGAGAAAAGGCTGCGTTTTGATTTGATTTGACTTGTTCGTGATGGTTTAGGTGGGGGGAGTTAGGCTGCGTTTGGTAAATGATTCCATTCTTATGTTCCAGAATTAGTTTTGAAACGAAAATTAATTGTAAATTTTTTTATTTCCAGGCATAAATTTATATAAATTTATTCTCAGAATCAGTTTTGCAACAAAATCGAAAAGTATGAAAACAAGAATCAGAAATGAAACTTTTTCTTCTTCTTCTTGATTTTCTTTCTCACCTGTGGCTGGCCACCGACAACTGGCCCCAAGCCAAGGCTGGCGAGGGCATCGCGGCCCTTGTCGGTGGTCGGCGAGGGCTGCCCTCGCCGAATTTGGCATGGGCGACCCTCGCTACCGCCCTCGCCAGATTCGGCGACCTGGACATGGGCTAAGGAAGGGGAAGAAAAAAAAAAAGAAAAAAAAGAGAAAAAATATTTAAATATTTAAAATATTATTAATAAAAAGAAATTTTGTGTAGTTACTAAACGCATTTATGTTCTTTTTCTATTTCAATAATATAAATTTTAGACGGTTACTAAAGCGCTTTCAAATTCTTAGAAATTATTTCTGGGAATGAAATAAAAAATAATCATTTCTGAGCAGAAATTGTTTCCGAGAGCAGAATGGTTACCAAACGCACCCTTAGGGTGCGCATGAATACCATTCTCGCGCTCTAACTATTTCTCAATGTAAAATGATTTTTTTTATTCTGTGTCTCAAACAATTTCAGTATTTTAAGGCGTTTAATAAACCGTCCAAAATTTCTATTCCTAGAGTAGAAAAAAACAGAAATACGTTTGGTAACTACACAAAATTTCTGTTCCCAAATAATATTTTGATAATATTTTGAATTGTTTAATTTTTTTTTCTTTCTACCCATTTTCTTCTTTGGCCATGGCGGTCGCCGGCGACCGGCGGCCAAGAACCGGGCCACAGCCCGAGGCCCGGCCGAGGGCGTCACGGCCCCGCCGATCCGCCGGCGGAGGCGAGGGTCGCCCTCGCCGGCGAGGCTCGGCCTCGCCCGGAGGTCGCCTTCGCCGTGGATCGCGACGGCGAGGCTTGGCTCGCCAGATCCGGGCGAGGCCGCCTCGCCCAGGCGGCAAGGGTCCGGCCCTCGCCCTCGCCGGCGAGGGCGACCCTCGCCTCCGCCGGCGGTTGGCGAGGGACGTGACGCCTCTCGCCTCGGGCGTATGGCGGTCACCGGCGGCCCATCTGGGAAGAACAACACAAAAATAAGAAAAGAAAAAAAAAGAAAAAAAACTGATTCTCAAAATTGTCTGAGAAACAAGAAGCAATTTTTTTACTTCTTGTTTCTCTTCTAAAATCGTTTCTCGGCACAAATTTTTGCAAAAATGTGCCCTGGAACAAAAAGTTTACAAAACGCATTTCTGTTCCCAAATTATTTATGGGAACAAAAGAACAGAAATTTTCACTGTTTGGCACGTTGCCAAACGGGCCCTTAGTGGCCAACTCGTCCATGTCTGTCTTTATTCGGAAAATTCTAACACAGCGAAATCACCCAACATGAACGAAACATTAATCCCATCGGATGATCAGATTCTTTTCCTTCTTGAATAGCCTGTGTTTTCCCACGAGAAAGAAACATTTGACACTTTCATTCTCGAACTTCGAAGAGTTGTGGGTGCGGTTAATTTAATTACTATACTTTTGATTAGCGTAATGGTTTCGAAGACCGAATCGGCATTACGAACCCAAATAGGCTGAACTCGTCGAATTGATGAGAAAAGAAAGGAGAAGCCCGGTTTGTGATTGAACAGGCCTGCAATACGTAGAGAGGATTGTGGTTTGGGCTTTGCTCTACTACCGTTCGACATTTTAAGCATAGGGGCGATCAATGGTCAAACCCAAAATGATGAGCTTAAACTATGCTCTTACGTGAGAAAGTCCGTCCCGTTCAGCTTCGAGATGGCATCGATTCGGGCTGCTATTTATATGTAAGTTTTTGCCATGGGTGGATTTGGGTAATTATTCGGCGCAACATTCAATTTTTGAAATTTATATCTCGAATTTTACAAAATCAATTACAATGAATCCTTGCGGCACCGACGATATAATTGTATTCGCACGAAAAAGTAGCATGACAGTTCGGAATAGTATACAAGAGCATGCGACACAAAATCTAGCGAGTATTTGACAGAAGTTAATGCTAGGTGCATATTAACATATAGTTTATCGATCATATTATTATTGAGTTGTCCATTTTATTTTATTTCCATATATTTTAATATGTAACCAATTCGCCCTAGAAGAATGTTACATCAAATCATGCGGTCAGAGTTGCAGGCAAAATTTGGCCGGAGCCAACGCCCTATTTCGAAGATTATGCCCGATTTCGAAGATTCAGAGGGAAAATTGCAAAAAAAGTTGAGAGTTGGAGGCTACTTGCCACAATCCCAAAATATTAGGGGGCAAAATGTCAATCCACCCGCGCGACAACGATAAATACCAAGAAGTTGAGGGGTCGATAGCAAAAGCCCAAACCGCGACGAAAAAGTGGCAAAATGGCGAAGAAAGACCAGAGGAGGAGGCGCATCCATATGAACGAACGGTGGTGAAATTGGCGCTTCTTCGCGCCATTTGAAAACCCTAACCACCTCCGCTCCCATCGCTGCGATCGCCGGAGCAGAGCCATGGCGTTCCTCCTCCCGCGCCCGCTTTCCCGTTCTCTCCGCCTCGGAGCCTCTCGCGGTGTCTCGTTCTCCTCTCTCCTGAGGTGGTCCTCCGCCGGCGCCGGCGGCCAGGTGAGTTGCTCGACAACCAAGCAACTCGGTTGAAGTTTGAGTTTTTTTTTTCCCCTCTTTTTCTGGGTAATTACGAGCGCGTAGGGACGCGCCGCGGATGGCGAAAGCGAAAGCTGGCGGTTTTTTCTGTAGCTGTGAGTGTGGACTCATAACTCATTAGGGAGGGAGGCTTGTGTATAAGCGTTTCGTGCCGGACTGTTCGGGGGGCAGGGGTTCTTGTCTTTCTCGGACGATGTTGTTTTTCTTAGTAACCGGAGGTCTCAGTTGTCTTGAAATCTTCACCTAGTTAGAGGGTTTTGGTATCGTGCTTGTTTGCTTTTGGTTTGGCATGTCTGTGCCCCCCGGTCTTTCTGTTATGTGATGTTTTCTCCTCCTCCCGTCGACAGAGCATCGGAAGGAATCCAGTTTCCAGAACAAGGGTGCCCGCATGCTGCCTTTCCACTGTAGGTAATCAGCCATTGTTGGGGCTCACTCCCTTCCACCATGCACGTATCTTATTGCTTCCATTCTTTGTCGATGATAGTATGCTGGGAATTGTCAGAACGCAAATTTAGCCTAACTCTTTTGCCCTCTTATGAGTTGACTCTAACTGCCTTCCAATTTTCAAGGCTCTGGTTTTCAGTGGCATGATTTGTAAAGTTATAATGTCCCTACTATTCTGAAAATTAGCTGGAATTGTTGGCATTTGGTAATGGGATTCTGCTTCAACAATCTTAAAATGCTGTAACTTGAAAATGCATTTTACAAACTGTCTCACAGGGTAGCTTCTCTGGCATGTTTTGTTTGGTTGGACGACACTTTCTTAGCTTTGTGAGTCACATTCTTCATTCGTATGGCTGCTGGAAAAGATGTAACTTCACATAGCACTGATGCTTCGTCATTTGGAAAACACGTCCAGCAAAAGTTCTTTTGCTGGTTGAGTAGTTGAATTGGTCTTTGATGGTGGTTAGGACTAATTTCTGAACTTGATGCATGTTCTTCCAATTTAAGTTGAAGAGTTGGATTTTGAACGCGATGGACTTCATGATGATGTGAAGATGATGGAGAGAGAAGATGCCCTACGTCATGCTCTGGCAAGCCTTGCTGGTGAATTTGGTAGGGAATCCATGCTGTCTTTGAGGCGATTTTTCAGTTCACGACGTCAACCAGTAATATCTACTGGTTCTTTAAAGCTTGATCAAGCCCTTGAGATTGGAGGGTTACCGAGGGTAAGGACCTCTTTCTATTGGAACTATTGAGATAGAGATAGCAAAGGCTGGAGGCAGAAATTTACTTACATATTTCTGCATCGCAAACATATACACGCAGAGGATTATTTGATAAAAGTTTATAATCAAAGAGAATATCTCTATAACTGGAATACATTATAGATATTTCGTATATTTTTAATAGTGAAGGTAATGGTTTACTTGGTCACAAGGCTATGGTTATGTCCAGTTGATCGAGATAGCTATTACCATGGATTTCTTGACAATTGCACATCGGATTTTAGTTATGGGAATTGTATCAAATGCATTTTCTGTCAAGATCGATTGTTGGTAAAGATAAGAAGGCTTGTGTTTAAGCTTAACTTAAATCTTGGAACTACTCTTAGACATGATTTATGAGCAACATTGTAACATATTGCCTGAACATATAGCACCATGGTAATTACTTTATGGCTGCTTTTAGCACTGTCTATTATCTTTATGTTAAGTTGATTAGGATTGAACTTTTAATTTCTGTTGGATATGAATTCTCCATGTCCAATTGTTTCTTGCATAAAGAGTTTGAGTTGAACATTTTGATATGCCTGTGCTGAAGTTTTGAATTTTTTAGATTATTCACGCCCTTGAGCCCAAAAATAAAAAAAATTCCATTCCATTTTCAGGGTAGAATTGTTGAAATATATGGGAAAGAGGCATCTGGCAAGACAACACTTGCCCTTCACATCATTAAAGAAGCACAGAAACTTGGTGGTATGCGTCTGTCTTCTTGCAGAGTATCTGTTTTTAGGCTAAGATTTGATTTCTCTTGGTCCTGCCGTGAAGATAGCAAGCTTGTGAGACCTTTTTGCGTTTTTCAGAGTTAGTTGTGTTTCTAAGCAATTGTTTACCTATTCTGTATCTGACTCTTAAGTCTCTTATTTGATTATTTTGAATGGCATATCATCAGAGAGACTGTTATCTTCATCTCCTTTAGTTTTTCTTTTTTTGAGCAGGTTATTGTGCATACTTTGATGCAGAGAATGCACTCGACCCATCACTCGCAGAATCAATGGGCATAAACACAGAAAATCTTCTT